GCATAAACGCAGTGCGTGTCGAAGTAATTTCTAAATTCGATATATCTATATACATATAAATAAAATTAGAGTGTCTGTTTGTAGTATTGAAATAACCGCTTTTTACTACATGCATATGAATATATATACATACACCAAAATAACATTTTTTACAATTTTTCTCTGTCTGTCTGTTTGTTCCGGCTAATCTCTGGAACGGCTGGACCGATTTTGATGAGACTTTCACTAATAGGTAGCTGATGATATAAGGAGTAACTCAGGCTACTTTTTTTAGACTAGCTTTGCCCCGCGGCGTCACCCGCGGTACGACAATAACCGCGGGTAACATCGCGGGTCTCAATTATAAATAATAAAATTTAATGTTTCCGAAGCGAAGCGAGGGCGGGTCGCTAGTTTAAAATATTATCCGGTGGTGTATTTAAACTTGACATGTCATTAGAATTCCATAAATCCCTAATCCTTTCCGGATTAAATTTCATATTCTTCAGTCGCGGAGATAGTTATGCTGCAATTTATTTAGAATAATTTTAGTCTTTTCACGTCCACGGCACGCAGAACCTGTGCAATTAAACCTTTATTATCCCTAAGACTCTCCGTCTGAGTTGTAACTCGTTTTTAATTACATTTTAAGTACACAACTACTTAGATTATTCAGGAGTAGTTACCCGACAATGCTCTCTATCATTTCACGAGACGTCATTACAATTAATATTGTCGAGTGCGCGATAAATTCCACTAAACATATTGATATTATTTTAACAGTTTCCTACGTAAGCACTTGTTGACATTCATAGGCAAAACAAAAAAGAACTTTAAAAAAGTACATTAACGATTTGGCAAAACTTTTGTAAATTTCGAAATCAAAAACTTATGACCTGATTTAATAACACTAATCTAAAAAACATTCAAATTTTTGTATTATTATTATATTATTTTGAATTCGCCGTCTATGTAACAGCTTATAATAATAATTTAGCAGTCGTTCATTAATTTTATTGTCTTGCAGAACAACAATTCTCGTTGATACGTAACGTAAGTGGAACCTGTTTTGTGAATTTTTATGTAAAATGTCATAAATGAAGGTCAACGTAGCGAAGAACAGACAATAAACTAAACTACTTCTGAATTTCTGATGTATGTTCGAAGTTTGAATATTTTCTATGAATGTCCAAACTAAGTTCACTTGTATATTGTAGAAACTTAACAATTAGACTAATTTATAACTGCATCTTAAACAAAACAGGGCACTATACAAATCAAATGAAGAACACCTAGCAATGATAGTATAATCCATTACTTCCATTTTTAACTTTCAGTTAAATTTTATTTTTAGCATTTTCTTACATCAGAAGGTAATCTTAATCTTGATCTAATTTGGTCGATTTTCGAAATTTGGGACACTCGATATTATAATTAGCTCGCGTCAATTAAATTATAATCGTTCCATTTTGTATAATAAAATAATATTTCTTCTACATGGGACTGTACGGCTAGTTGTTGTCAGCGGAATGTATTTATTATTCATGCTGTTATTTAATTTGGTGTATAGTTTAAGCGGATTCCAGTGCGAAACGAGAAAGATCACTAAAAGTCGTGAGACGCGCTAAATCTGCCAATAACAATACTAAAAGACCACGTTAATTCTGTTCAGAATAAAACGACAAGGAACATTGTTTTACCACCATTCGGCTCATCTCTCTGGACATATTTGTCTATAGCTTGGCAAGCCAAACTAGGAATAACTGGATGGAATTGGAACTTAAAGGCAGTAAGGATACTACGAATAATCAGGAAATTATAAAATCGGTTCGAGGTCGCAAACCCGTAGTCTAATAAACAGTTGCTCAGAGCGTTACGAAGGAAATGAAACGAAACGAGGGAAAATACTTTGATTTAAAATTATGGAAGATGTTTATCGGGTCCAAAGTTTTAAACCAAAGATTTCAATGTAAAGAAGACTGCAGCTATAAAAAGGGAAATAGCAATTAGTCTATACTAATATTATAAAGAGGAAAGATTTGTTTGTTTGTTTCGAATAGGCTCCGAAACTACTGGACCGATTTGAAAAATTCTTTTTCCATTAGAAGCCGACATTGTCCCTGATGAACATAGGCTACTTTTATTTATTTATTTTTTATTTATTTTATTTGGTTTCATGTGTGTTTTAATGTTTTCGAAGCGAAGCGAGGGCGGGTCGCTAGTAGATAATAAGATGACAAGCTAATATTCAATTCAACCGTCACCAAAGGGGTCCGACTAAATATGCTGCTAAAATTATAATAATTAAATTGCCTAATAAACTATCTATACAAGACATCAAAATTTGAAGTCGTTGTGGCCTAAAGGATAAGACGTCCGGTGAATTCGTACGTAGCGATGCAACGGTGTTCGAATCCCGCAGGTGGATACAAATTTTTCTAATGAAATACGTACTTAACAAATGTCCACGAATAACTTCCACGGTGAAGGAATAACATCATGTAATAAAATCAAACCCGCAAAATTATAATTTGTGTAATTACTGGTGGTAGGACGTCTTGCGGGTCCGCACGGGTAGGTACCACCACTCTGCCTATTTCTTCCGTGAAGCATAATGCGTTTCGGTTTGAAGGGTGGAGCAGCCGTTGCAACTACTCTGAGACCTTAAAACACATGTGGGTGGCGGCATTTACATTGTAGATGTCTATGGGCTCCAGTAACTACTTAACACCAGGCGGGCTGTGAGCTCGTCCATCCATCTAAGCCATAAAAAAATCATCCAGGACGTGCTTTAGTGAAATTTGTAGTNTTTCCGTGAAGCATAATGCGTTTCGGTTTGAAGGGTGGAGCAGCCGTTGCAACTACTCTGAGACCTTAAAACACATGTGGGTGGCGGCATTTACATTGTAGATGTCTATGGGCTCCAGTAACTACTTAACACCAGGCGGGCTGTGAGCTCGTCCATCCATCTAAGCCATAAAAAAATCATCCAGGACGTGCTTTAGTGAAATTTGTAGTCATGAAACTTACATTGGAATGCTATGGAGAATTAACATAAAAAGAGCATTGCATTTACCAATAGCGGCCCGAGAGTTGTAGGGCAGGTCATGGCTGAATGCGTAAACTCTAACGGATGTACAACCGATAGCACTATCACTATTTGAGCTTGCTTGCTGTTATTTAATAGATTTGTTTACTAATTTCCCGTTTAAATTGCAAAATGAATGTTTAAACAAATCATAATTCTTAGGGTCAGTGATTGTGTACGCTGCGTACAAGTATATTGAGGGGTGAAAGGTTTAAGCGATATTTCTCTTTGTAACTAAAGGCCCGTTTTATTTAGCATCAACAATTCGATGTTTAAATTGAATTTCAATCAAGTTTATCCTATTGATATAGTTGAAGAAGTTCTTTGTTGTGATTTTTATTTTTTTAATTTTTAAAAGTCTCTCCTGTAAAGTTGCAAAAATGTTGCTTGATAAACAAAATAAATAAATTGCATTTCATCCCTCGATATTATTTAATTGTAAAATGGGCGTTACAACAATTTTTTTTATTCATTTTTGTTTCATATATAGTTTGAAGTACCAGGCCAACAGCGGATCGTGGCGGTGTCGCGTTACGCGGTGGCTGTTGACACCAGCGCCTGATTAATATTTATGATACGGCTGAGCATCTCGCATGGCCGGTTCGCTCACTCGATGCGAATTATCTCCGTCCTGCTCCTGCTTACATACATCTTGTATGTCAGATAGAGCGCATTCATACAGTACGGCAACTATTTTTTTCATCACTTGAATACGAGTACGAACGAGAATCCCAAATCTTAGTCTTCATTGTAAATTCGTTTTACGCTACTGCTTCTTTCAGATGGACTCTTATCGGCCACGAAATGTGATAAGTAATCGTTGATACGGTGTTTTTGAGTACTTATTACGTCGAAATTTATCGCCAATTTATTGTCATTTTACTCAATGTTGCAAATTCATTAAGACTTTTTTTTGTCTCGCGCACACGGTACGTAGGCAAATGAGCTGTTTACTTTCATGCCCGCCAAGTTTCTTGATTACGAATCTAAAGTAGTATGTGGAACGCGGCGTGGGTCCGCCGCTCCGAACCTGACCGTATCGAGGTATTGCAACCGGACAGGCCAGACTTCTGCTAAAAAAACTGCAATCGACATACAGGAAAATTGTGCCCCAGAAACTACGCTCAATTTTAAATCAGAATCAAGAAACTAATTGTCGAACAAATACATGCTATACTCAGAATTAATATTCGGTCGGATTGTCCCAATGGTCTTATGTTTTGTTATTACTCTGAATTACTCATTTGATCATTTCATTAGTCATTTCAACAACCTCGCTTGTTGTTAATTGAAACGCATCCAAAAGTCTCGGGCTGATCTCTCGAGTGAATTATATAGAGTCGCCCGACAAAAGCAATCTAATACGTTTATCAATTTTCTACTCATTTGTATATTTAAAAAAAAAAGATTTTAGCAACCCTATTTTGCCAAAGAGTAACGTCTTGTTTCCTGTGGGATTAATTCATAATACTAGAAGTGCTATAATTGAGCTTGTAGTCCGATTAATTATCATTGTTTGTCTGGATGTTTTTCGAGAGATCGCGCGCTTCCATCGCCGGCCGGCGTTCGCGACTTCGGTCCAAGGTCACGTTATCGTGCTATCGCCAGTTCTCCCCGCTCCAAGGTCAGCGACATGTATTTTCCCGTACACAGTACCAACCGGGATCACTATCCTTTTAATAATTGACATAAAAGCGAGTCCTTCTTACTACAGGAACTGGGCAATCTGGACCGTCGCGCGCCGAGTCTTTATTGTTAATTTGCGAACGCCAGTAGAACATTGAGCGGACGTGCACTCTCGCTTTTAAGCAGCCAGACCGCGGTATAGGTGCTATCAAATCAAATTAGCTGCGTGTTTACATTTTATAAATAGAGCGCGTTCACGTGGCGCCGAAACGAGATAAGCGTCCGTCGACTCGACGAGATCACTCACCGTGGGCTGTTAACATCCTCCGCGGCGGGGCACGGGATCTTCTAAGACACTGACACTGGTGCGGGATAAGTAAGCACTCACTAACGGCGCACTATGTTCAGAGGCACACGCGAGGACTGCACAGCGCGACACCCACGACTAGAATGCGGGCGAGACGGCAGGTCGCGGGGCGCGGGGGGTGACCGGCGGCGACACACAGCTCATACGAAGGCGCGGCGATGAGGACTGCGGCCGAGTGCGAGAGGTCTCCCCTCTATTGGTCGGCGGAGAGATGACGTCACGCGGGGCAACCAATAATACAGCCGCACATAGTTCGTGATTACGACCGCAAGAGGCGCTGCAGTAGAGGAAGTCGTCCGCCCTACAGAGCTTTCTTGTTCAGCCAGGGCGTGTGCTTTTGCAGGCGGATGTAACTTAATAAACTCCCTGAAGAACAATTTTTATGTTTGGCTTAATTTTTTTTCTTTTTTGTAATTTTGTATGAAAACGAACGTTTTTATAACGATTAAGTTAATCCAATTTTTAATTGTAATAATAAATAATAGGTAACAAGAACTGTAGAACATTACAACAACAAATCTATTCAATAACCAAAATTATGGCTAAAATTTAAAAAAAACATATAAAATATGGACCACAGAAACAAAAAGTAGACTTACATACGTTATGCAGTTCGAATGTGAAAATTCGATAAAGATTTTTTGTGGCTGGCTTAAAAGTTCCAATAAACTGATAAATTAAACTTTACTTAAAAATATTACTTAAAATATAATTTAGAGTCGATAAATAATAAGCCCCTACCTACAGATATTCGTTTTCACGGGATCTAATTTTTTTTCTCTATTACCCAGGAGTTTTCAAGGAAATTGCCCCCACGTTTTCTAACGAATCTTAAAAATAAATATACCTAATTGCGACGTGATCAATTCTAGACTTTTCTTTTTTAAAAAAAACGTGATTCACGAAAGAAATTCACGATGAAACTTCTTTCAAGCTTATTTAAAAATCAAATCTGCAAAATTATTGAATTGCGTAATTGCGGATTATTGTTTTATCAGCCAGAATAGCACTGTCTTGTTTATCTTCTTCTTCTTCTTCGTCGCTTTCTTCATTGCTAAAGGTAGTGTCCCTGTTTATCACTGTTGCTGTGAAAACTTGCTCTTCAGTTTTAAAGGTGGGATCGTCTAAATACAATATTAATGGGATTTTAACGTGGTTCTACAAAATGGACGGTAATGTTCTTCAGTAAGATCATGAGGTAGGACGTAAGTACATAATAATATTGTGTCAATCGGTCAATCTAAGACAAAAGTTGAACTCTATTATTTTATTAATTTAGAATACTTTAGAATTGTTTATTGGTACAACATGGTACAGTGATCTTTATCGAAATTATTTCTTTATTAAGAAAACAAACAACTGCGCAATTTCATTTAAGATTTAACGGTAGAAAAGCGAGTACCTATTCTAATTTTACTGAAAATTTGAATTCATTGATAGTTCATATTCTTAATCCGCATTTATTTAATTCGTTGAGATAGGTTTGAAATTTTCATTTCATTAATGTCTACAAAATCTATCGTACGCATTAAATGGAAGCGCATGATTGTCTCAAGACAGTCGTAGACAGGACTGTGTATGCTTGCTTCTTACATAAAAAAAACATTGAATAAATTTCTTAATTAGATGACAGGCTACACTATAGCCAATAAACAATAGCTTCGTAAATACAATATAAATTCTGCTCGAGTCTTGAATGAAATAAGTTTTGTGATTCGCAAAATTAAACAGAATAGGGATACAAAGTTTGTTACCAAACTTTTTGGTAACAAATTATTCGAATTAAGCACGTTTTTGTTTTATTACTTTTGACAATGTAGTAGCTATAGGTTTCTGAGAGAGTAATAAATTCTGTGGATAGTATTATTACTCGCGATTCATAATTCCCTTCGCATTTTTTTAGATCGGTTGAAGTTAGAAAATACGAAACTGAAGGAACATATAGATAGAGAACATAATGATACTTATTAATGTGTGGCAATACATTACTATACAATACAGCAAAATTATTTATATTTTATTTGTTAAAGTTTTGCATTATATTGTAAATGCCTTGAGCTATTTCTATGTTTAAAGAATGAACTCATTCTAAGAAATAATAGCCAATTTGTATAATCACAATACACCAAATGATGTTCGAACAGATTACGAAAAAAAAATATTAATGTGCAAAATAAATCTGGAATGAATAGTTAGTTATATTGTGAAAGAATAGTCAATTTGTATACTGGCAATACACTAAATGATATTCGAACCGATTCGGAAAAAACTAATTAATGGGAAAAATAACTCTGGAATGATTAGATTGTAATTTGAATTTTTTACATAAACGGTCACCATCTACCTAAAAAAATAAAATAAAATATTTTCACTGCGTACATTTATAATGAAGTGGAGGAGAAAATCGGTAAGAGACAAATTTGATGCAAAGCCATTGTATTTGATGTAAATTTGACAAATTTGTTGTAAAGCTTTTGACATTTTTGGAAGCCGATTAATCGAAATTATAATCATGTGCTTGATGATCATAATAGGAGTGGGGTTAAAGTATGGAATTGTCAATTTAATGTAGTAGCTACTACTGTAAATTAGACTTTTAATTCTAATGTAAACGATTTAATTTGCATATTCCAAGATTCAGGATTATAAATAATAAATAATAAATATTTACTAACAATCACGCCACGTTAACCGGCCCCGTGATAAGTTCGTAAAGAACTTGTGTTACAGGTACCAGATAACGGATATAAATGTAAGATTTTTATTATACACATACATATATTTAATATACATCCATAACCCTGGAAAATACATTTATATTTATCATACAAATATCTTCCCTTGGCGGGATTCGAACCCGCGACCCCCTTGTGTAGTGACCATGTCACTTACCACTACACCAGACGGCCGTTAAATTAGATTAGATAAATACTTTTTAAATATAAAACTACCTTTAATATTTAAACTGAAACTTTTTGGTAATTGAATTTTTTATTTATTGTAGTTGTTGTTTAATTCAGGGTTTCTACGAAAAGTTTAGTTTGAAGTCATTGTGGCCTAAATTAATAAGACTTTATTTTTAAAAAAAATTATTGCCCTTGTAAGCAGACGAGTATACGGCTCACCTGATGGTGAGTGGTTACTGTCGCCCATGGAATACTCTCCACGAGCCTCGTATGAAGAAAGACATGTCATAGCGCTCTGGAAACAATATAATATAACAATATATACAAATGATATATATAATAATATACATATATATTTCGATATATATATAATTTACAAATCAGCTGAATCGAGTCATAATTTGTAAAGCCGCTGTTTCGGAACAAACAATTTCAGAAGCTTTTCTAAACGATTGCTCTTAAAGATTCAATCAGTGAGCCTTAATTAAATGATTAATATAATCTAATCATTTGAATAGGTTCCGGCTAATATTTTAAGTATGTACTTATTTAAAGTAAATAAATTAATCTTATACCTTTAAACGAGCAATTCTGGTATATTAATATAATAATATATATAATTATCTGAATTTCGGAAACGGCTCCAACAATTTTCATAAAATTTAGTATACAGGGGATTTCGGGGGCGATAAATCGATCTAGCTACGATTTATTTTCAGAAAATGTTGTTTTAATCGTGTTTTCAATAATCCTCTTCCAGGCATCTATTGGCGAATAATAATGCTATTTTTAAAGACACAATAATACTAAAGGTATTTCAGCAGATGGCGTTGTTAAGACACCCGAAAAACACAATTTATCAAAAAACAAAAAAATACCGGTCATCGTCTAGTATTAGATTAATTGCGAAGATGAGTGAACGAGCCCATAGACATAATAACGAGAATTCCTTAAAACTCGGCGTCCAAGTCTCATTTGTAATGTAGAATAATTTACCCACACTTCAAGTCCGGAAAGTGTGACTGCTTCGCAGCAGAAATATGGAGAACGGTGGCAACTATCCACGGGATTATAATACGACCACATGTCAAAAATGAGGATGACGAAGATGGAACAATCGAGATTACGGAATACCGGAAGTTGAATGATTAATATCACACATGTATAGCGTGATTGTTGCTATCAATAATAATATTTTTTGCAAATTTTAAAAAATGACAAAACTTCATAGCATTCTGAAAACTTCTTGTAGGGAAGTTTATTGTAGAGTAAGATGAATCGTGGCAAAAATGTTTATCGGGGTTGTAGTTTTGCTCCGGTGGATGTCGGCGCAAGGTTAGAACAAAAAAGACAAGAACTACTCAAGTAATTCAGGGTACAAAAAATAAAACTTGATAATATTTAATATTTTTTTTATGTTTACACTTGAACGAATTCACCATTCACCTGGTGGTGTTTACCGGAGCCTATAGAAGACAGTAACGTAAATGCCGCCACCCATCTTGAAACACGAGTTCTATAGAAAGTCTATTGTAATTTGTGTCATCCTATTTTTCTATGATAGTATGTATATTAAAAAAAGTCATGTCATATTATACCGTGTGGATCTCTGATGATACAAGTGTCATTTAATGCAAAAATCATCCCATAATCTAGACAGACTAATTTTCGTATGATTTACTTACGTTACTGGTTTAATAATCTTATATAACTGACTTTGATGTTTTCACCGGAAAGTTTGAAAGATATGGATAATATGATTAAGCCTCCAACAACAATTCACACAAAGTTCGTCAGGGCTGAAAGACGACCATGCGAAATACCGCGAGAGATTTAAACGGCTCTATTGTATAGAACCAAACACATCATGACAGCCACAAAATATCTATACCAAAAATGGCCATGTCAAATCTGATGATTAGATATTAACAAAAAAAAAAAACTCTTTAATATAGAAAACGCTAAGTATAAAGCAGAGTAGGTATAAGAAACTGTCATGAAAAGTGAGTATCAATTATAATTACTTTTTTTTTGCTTTATCTGAACGCAGCCCCCTTTTAGTTAAGGTAGCGTTTACACTCGCAACGCCAATTACTTTAAGATATGAGGTCAATGATTCCATTGCATTTGTAACGCCACTTTCTATGCGAGCTAATAATACGCCTTAGAACAAGATCACAAACTATGCGGGTTTCATTTTGTTAGACGATTTCACAAGTTCGCCGAATTTCTTGCCTGAATTAGGTTTTTTTTATACCCTTGTAGGCAGAC